GGGGCGCTGTAAGCGCACTTACACAATCTGATCAAAGGATACAGGCGCCCTCTGATCGCAGTAAAATATGTTGAAACCTCAGGCCAAGCAAGCCTGGTGTCATGTTTAGGTAAAAAAAAAAACAACAACAACAAACTCCCTAAGCAACTGAGGTTATAAATGAAACGACTTCCATGGGAAGAGCAGATTGCTCCTGATTTGTGAGGGAAGGCTATCCAGTTAGCAAAGCAGCCTTGGTTCTTGATGGGAATGAAAACTCATCTGTTCCACTGTGAAGAGCGGCCGATGACGATGCGGTGATTTGAAGCCTCGGGGGAGATGGGTCATCCTGCGTTCAGCCAGCTCGCCCGCTAGAATGCTACGGCTCCACTCCGCTGGCAGCGGCAGCACGCGCACGGCGCCGACGCCGCTGCACAAAGCCATTCGGGCGCACGTACACGCTGAGGCATGCCGCAGCACGGCGTCGGGCAGAGACGAACGCTCGGGGCGGCGAGGCATCTCTTGGGCAGCCCGCCTCTCTGTCCAACTGTGCGGGACCGCACTGGCAAAAGAGGGAGAAAGCCCGCATTTGCTCCGTCTCGTGCAGAGCCTGGACTCGGTTCCTTGGCAAGGCGACGCGCCGCATTTCAGGGACCAGCAAACAAATATCCCTTTTATGCCGTCTATTGACTCAGCTTTCTCCGCGTTCTTTGCTGCCATCCTCAGACAACCCCTCCCTTCTCTCGCTGCCCCAATCTAGAACAGAGTATTCACTTCAATCCACTCACAGTGACATTGCGCCAAAGCCAAAGCCAACGCCAACTTCTGTCGAGGCATTTTTCCTCACATCGGGCAGGTGGAGGATCACACCATTCACACACCCGCGTTTGCACTGCGTAACGGCAGCGGGATAAACTACAGCTGGCCTACAAGCATCGAAAAGGAGGATCATTTGTGCCATACCGGATTACGCACCAAATGATCTGGTGACTCTGCACTTAATCCCTTTTCTATGGCTCTGACCTCCTCTCAGTTCACACTGGAGGAAGCCCTGTGACCCGGCCGCTAAGGTCACTCCTCCTTCCTCATCCCGCCGCCGCATACGAAGTCGCAGCGCTCGGCTGTGCAACCACAGCGTCCTCGACACGGCGTCCGCATGGGTGCCAATGCCCGGGAACAAGCGGCCTTTCGGCAAAAAGGCTCCAGCTCATTCCGGAGTGGCGCACGAGAGCAATTATGCAACTGCGGTCGCAGGCTCGGACATGCGGCCGGGTCACCCGCCACCGCCGTGACTACCTGGACGGACCATTCGCAGGAGTCGTGTCGGCGCTACTGCGGCGGCCAACGCTCCAAAGTGGAAAGGTGCTTGTCCGTCTACCTTTCTCCTACCAACGGCGAATTCTCTTGCTCTGCTCCACTAGGACTAGCTGCCTTGGGCTGAACTCCCTCCTTTCTTCCTTCCTCCCTGGTTTCTGTTTCTGTCCGGGGGCTCACCTCTACAGCAGTGCGGAAAGATGACATCAACACACAGACAGCGTCACACTCTGAAACAAACAGCGGAGGCTGAGTGTGCTCGGCCACTTTCAGAGTTACACACTGCAGGTAATGTTGAAATGCTGTTTTCTTTGAAAAACAAAACAAATCAAAACTATGCTATGAAGCAAGCAGCATTGGATCTATCAATCGATCCCCCGGTATAAATCAGCTCAATGTGTGAAATTTGCTTTGAGCAAAATTGCATTTAGCCTGCCAGGAAAGGACTGAGCTTTCGTTAGTATTTTGTGGGGGACTCTGTATGTTATTTTATTATTTTTTTTCAAACCACAGATATGCTCACCTTGATGTGTAAAATCGCCAGTTAAGCGCCATCTGTGGGTTCTCTGGGCAACTTCAGTGTGCTGTCGCCGCCTGAGAAAAGAAACCAGATCTCAAATTTAACGGTGTCTGCATACGCTTAATGTGACAGCAATTCATCGGGATCGACCATTTCTCAAATTTAGCAAGAAAGCCACAGCGGGTCGCATCCTGTTTGCTTCATTGCTCGGCTTGTTCCACTGCGTCATCACTTCCCTTTCCTGGAAGTGTGCCCGCCGCCGTGTCATCCAGCCAATTTACATACAGCCTGTATCGGGCCGGTTCTTTCGACTCGTTTTGGGTTGCACTCTCTGGTTTGACCGGGCAAGAGTTTCGGGAGCATCGAGGGGTCTTTGCTCACATCGTTTTGCAAAAGTCTTGCGCCGAGAGCTTCTCGTTGCCGCGGTCATCAAGAAAGCGGCCCCGACCGCCGACAGACGTGCGGCGGGACATCAGCAGGTTCCCTGTCTGCAAGTTGGAGCCACTGCGATCGGCGGCGGTCCACACGATCAAGACAAACATGACACAAGGGAACTCCTCCCAGAACAAGAAAGTGACTCACAAGATACAAAATAACAACCTTGAGTTGCTATCAAATACTTTGGAGGTCAACTTCAGTCGCCCGCTCGCAGCTTCATCCTCCCGCCAGCCATTAAGCATCGTCAGGTTCTTCAAACAACGGATTCTGTATCTCCTCGTTCATACCTCAACTCAAGTGTATTTCTAGAGCACTTTAAAACAACCATCGCTGCATACAAAGTGCTGTACACCGAGCAAATATCATATTTACAACAAATTAATAACAGAGCCAGGAGAAAGCACCAAACAGTAAGACTGAAGATCAAGTCTGAGTCATGCCGTGTCAAATGCCATCGAATACAAATGAGTTTTGAGACGAGTTTTAAAGATGGGCAGCGAGCGGGCTTGCCGAATGTTCAGTGGGACGTCAATCCAATATGATGCCGTTGTCATCAATCAGTATACCCATCACATGTATGGAAAAGCCAAGAAAAAGCAAGCCTGCACCCCAAAAGAATGAAAAGTGAATACGTGGCAAGTCATTCCTGAGCCTCCAGCTGTTGCTGAGCTCATGCTACCGCTCCAGAACTGAAGGGGAGGAATGACGGGAAAGTGCTCTCTTTCTGTAAAATGTACAACAAAAAAAAGTCAATCTGAAGTTCATTGGCCATAAAATAAATAAATTAATTAATAAAAAAAGACACTGCACAGAACCATCAAAGTTGATTTTCTCCAGACCACGAGTCATGGAGCTTTTGGAAACCGAGAGCTAGTAGTTTTTGGGTACTGATGAAGGGCTCCCGGTACGATACAACTTGGGGGACAACACAGGTGTCAAAGGCAAGGAAATATGAAGGTGAAAATAAATCCATTCATAAATAAATAACGGTTTGCAAGCTGGGCTCAAGCCACCAACTACCGAGTGAATCCATTGCGTACCACGCACTTCACGTTGTGCTCTTTGCGCCATCTTGTGTGATATTTGAGGACAATTCGAATCTCAGCAAAAGCCTGCGTCCAGAAAGCAACCAAATTCTCTCTTCCGCTATATTATTTATATTCGCTGTTGCACCAGTTTATACCGCGACACCCCCCCTTTTTTTTTTTCAAATACAGAGAGTAGGAATATTTATTGAGCTGGTCGAGCGAGAGCAATCAAGTCCAACTTGTTTCTTCTTTCCCTGATTTTTCCAATTGATGGAGAGGAGTCACGGCACCTGCCTGACTCCTGGTACGTCATCGGCATTCTTGAGCATGTGCCTAACCGACAGGATTGTGTGAGTTTCGCTCGAGAGAATGAGCTTGGAAAGGTGCCTGCAATTCCACACACTTGCGCAAGGGATACATTTCAAGTTTGGTTTCTGCCCACTGCATTCGCGCACGGCAAGCCTGGCAACCGGGACCCTCCTTGCGGCACCCACAAAAACGGCGCGGACGGTCCCAGGCGGCACGAGCAAGAGCCGTTGTGAAACAACGGCGCTCTCTACTTCCTGCGTCTTTCGTGTATTTTGCTGTATGTCGGTGATGGATTTGGTATCGTTGCTGTCAATTCCTGGCGTCAACAAAAATTGTTTCCTACTTCTATGATGGTGTCGTGCGAGTGACAACTTGAGTAGTTTGCCTCTTCTAAGCATGGTTTGGAAAGTATTAGCTCGGTTGGTTTAAAGTTGTGCGGAAACAGTTTCAGAATTGTTGATTCTCCACCTCTTGCCGGAAGAGATTACTTCGGAGCGGCCGTGCATCGCAAAGCATTCTTTTAGCGCACTTTTTGTCTTTGTCAGCACAACCGACTTGTGTGACTCGTTTCTCAGGATGAAATATATTTTGCACCGTAATATTGTGCCTTCATTCCACATCTGAATTTCGTTTTTTTTTTTTTTTTTTTTTTTTAAATACTACAAATTTTCTTCGGAGACTCTCCCTGCTAAAAAGAAAAAAAACCAAAAAGATTTGTGTTTTGCTTCTAATTTCAAGACTACAGATGATAGATTGTGCAAGTTGACGAGGACGCTACCAGGAATCAGTGAGTTGATCACAACAGACTGGGTTCTTGTCAAATGATCTTTTTTTTTCCTCCTCCCTCATACTTTATAGCTGCGTTGGCTGTGCTCCCGCTGCAAAGTTCAGATCGGCAGCAGTGTCACGCCATCAGTAGCAGAAGAGCGCGCAGGACATTCCTGCTCGGCAGCAATAAAAGGCTGAAACTTGAGCCCTGCTAGACAATGAGTTGTGGCCCAACAATAAACACGGACACGCCCAAAACAAACTGGGGCGCACGCACACGAACGCACGATTGCAACCTCACAAAACTCACACCCAATTTCTGGTCAACTGGCACCACTATGCAGCGGACCGAAGCATGCGTGCCTCACGGCACAGAGTTTCTCGATTCCACTTTTGTGTCGGGCTGTCCGGTGTTGAGTTTGCAGGTTCCTCCTGTGCTCTCTGGGTACGCCTTCCACATTTAAAAGAAAAAAAAAAAAAAACACTACAAAGACCATTTGCTTGACAGGGCCACCAGCCAAAAAAGACGGATGCCGGACCCGGGATGGACTTGAACGTTGTTTGGTGCGAACGCAAGATCGCATGTACGTGTCACCTTGTCACTGCCAATATTGTCAATATCGCGTCGTCGCCGTTCATGCCGTACGGAAGAACTACCAGCTTCTCGTAGACGCTTTCAGATGGCGCGAGTGCGCTAAATGGCCGGTGTTGCACTTTCGCATTTCAGTTTTCATGTTCCGTCAGCAGCGCGTTCGGGAAGCAGCTCATGTTTGTTCTGGTTGTGTTGACGCTTTACTTCGGGGTCCACTGATGACAGCGGAAAGGGAGAGGGAATATTTCAAAGCAGAAGAAAACTGCTTTCAAAGGAGTGTTTAGACAGGAAACACACACACACACACACACACACACACACACACACACACACACACACACACACACACACACACACACACACACACGTTTCGGTTAAGCAGGGTGAGGGTCTTTAAATTTACTAACACAAAATGCAACGTGGAGCGAAAACAAAATGGGGAAATGAAGGTGGAAACAAAAAGATGGCACATTCGACTGTGTGTGCGCGTGCGCGCGTGTGTTCCACCGATTTGCTCATCCATCGTTAATGCCGACAAAGAAAAGAAAGAAACGTAGGACAGGCCCCACGTGGACTGCAACTCAACCACAGAACTTCAAATGCTGCTGCACTGTGACGATCGAATGAAGCAATCTTTTTCTCAAAGGCGTGACACTGGTTTCATAGTAAGGGCAAGTGGGGGGGGGAGAGACGCACGCACACACAAACAATGACCAGGCCAATATCACGAATCAATGGCTAACTCTCCTTTTATCAGCGCAGCCAGAGCGCCGGGGCTTGACCGGCCTTCACGCTCCCCACTCTGATAACACAAAGCCCTTGTGCATGCGCAACGGGAAAAAAATCTCACGCGCCCCAGATCGCTCAGAGGGAAGACATGTCGGCCACGATGAATATTCGACGGCGTTTTCGACGATGAAAGCACAACATTGAGCCAAAAGGGGAGTTTCTCGGATGGAGAACTGCGCGGCTCCATATTTCACATTGTCATTTTCAGACTGCGGCGCAGCACCGGTTCTCTCCCCGTGCATTTTCTCTCCGCCCACACTGCGCTGTGGAGCCCCCCCCACCCCCACGTTCCTGTTGGATTGGTGGAGTAAACACAGGAAGAGAGCGGGCTCTGTTCCACCGTGCCAGAGCTGAGGCTGGGCGTTCCTGCGGCGCTCCTGCGCCGGGGTCAAAAGTTGACTGTGGTTTTCGTTTCACCTTTCCTCAGCCAATCACGGCGCAACACTGTAGCGCGTGAACTCTGACCCCTGCAAAGAATTTTGCTCAAAAGATGGTCTGACGCCACTTTGACAATTGCAGCCCGGCCCCGTCTCCCAACTCTCTTCCTTTCTTTGAACGGGCCAGTTGTCATGTGTTGACAGAGAGTGAAAGATTAAAAAAAAAAAAGAGAGAGAGAGAGAGAGAGAGAGAGAGAGAGAGAGAGAGAGAGAGAGAGAGAAAGAAGGCAAAGAGCAGAGAAAGACTGGCCAATTTACCTGAAAAGTCAACTTCAGGAATCTAGGGCGAGTCTTCCTTGTCCTCTTGCTCCTTCTGTCCGCGCAACGTTCAAAGAAAGAACAAGTTAAAAAGGGCGGCGAGATTACTAGGACAGAGGAACGCAAGCGCGCGCGCGCACACACACACACCCTTTGCTGCATGAAATGGTGCTTTTGTTTTGGACTTCGTGACACAAATCTTTCCAATCTCAAGTATGATTAAGCCTGCGCCGCCGATCAAGTTCTTCAACTGGTCGAGAGCAGCCAATGGAAAATGTACATCAACACACGGGATTTTCACGACCAAAAGACGCACTTACAAGTCTTACATTTTCTCCATAATGCGGGTCGCCTCGTGTATGCGCCGAGTTCCAAAATCCGTGAACGCTCTTGGGTGACTTTGAAGACCGATGTTGACATGACACGCTGCTTGTGCGGCGGACGTCACTGAGGACGCCGTGCGGATGCTAAAGTGGGAAGGGTGGGCGTGAAAGAGGACGCCAAATGTGCAGGATCGTTGGTGACTCGACTCTCCTTTACACTGAAGGTGGCAATCAAGTAAAAATTGGAAACACGTCTCAACAACGAAGCAGCCCGAGAGATGGACGGAGGCAGCGAGGACGGAGACCGTTTGAGAACCTGAAGCTAACCGTACAAGGCGCAGCAGAGCGTCGTAAGCTAAGGCCTGGCTTCCACGACAATGACTGAAAGGTTCCACATCAACGAGGATGAACTTCCTTCTGCAAAGCTGAAGAAGAAAAAGAAGAAAGCCCACTTTACCGCTTGCAAGTTGCATGAGCGTGGCGCTATCGCAAAATAGAAGATGGAGAAAGTCCATGCAGCAGTTGCAAGGTTCATCTCAAAATGTTGCGCCCCCCCGCTACTTGAAGCTGCCAAACGAGGCAAAAAGAGAGCATCTGGTAGCAGTTAGGACACAAACCAAACTTGTCGCCCTTTCTGTCTCTTCCCCCAAAGCATTTCTTATAAACAAAGCACCAACAAGGTCTGCTCGGATTTGACAATAGTCGCAAAACTGGGTCAGGGATACCCCCCCAACCCCCCGACTTGCTCAGGTGAACTCGTTTTATGAGCATTCTTGAGCTGAGGGGGTGGGGAGTTAAAGAGAGAGTTGAAGTTAAAGAGGAAGGGCAAGGAGAGGGAGGAGCGGGAGGGGGAGGGTGGGGGACATAGCTCTTGGCACCCCCTCTGCCAATAAACTCTCGCGTCCGTCCAATCGGCAAAGACTACAGAGAGTTAACTGTTCCAAAATGCTTGCTGGTTAGAAACTGGAATTGGGTGCAATGATTGCTTCAGGCTGCCCGTTTGGCTTGGGGAAGCGTGCGTGGCCCACATATGGCTCGGCTTGCCTGACACTTGGGTATTACCGCAGAGTTGAAGATGAGGGGATCGAGGGGCTGAATGAGATGCGACTTGAGGAAAAAAAAAACTGTCCGAGTGCAAACTGCACCGCCTCACTTGACCCAACTCCGACAGGCGTCTGTGCGGCTTCCTCGGAGTCGTGAATAACAATCTGGTATGAGCCGCTCGCTCTCCTCATACTCTCACTTGTTTGGGCGAAGTCGCAGTAAATATTTCAGCAGTGGAAACACGCCTGTCTTGTTTTCTATATTTAGCTGAAGAGGACAAACGCGGAGGGAGCAAAGCTACCTGTTGAGCCTTTTCAAGAGCGCCCGTAAGAAAAGCAAACTTTGGAAAAGCCAACTCGTGATCGCAACATCCCGACCGAGTGACCACAAGACACAATTCTTTCGGAAAACAGTACAAACTGAGGACAACTCCGGGAAACCGGAACCGAAACACGGTTGCGGTAAGGGCTCAGAATACGACGCGGAATAAAAAAGCGGAAGCGATTCGCACTTTCCATTAATGCACGGCAATGCGGTTTGAAACAATACAGGCGGAGGCCAAGTCGGAACGCCGCCACGCTTGTGCCTGACAAAAAAAGTGCAGGGAGTCAGATTTCAATTAGGGGATACAATCAGGCTTTCCTTTCAGCGCCGTGTTGTCACGACGACTGTGACTCCAGGTCATCTACGCTCTGGTAATTTAAGGTCAAGTCTGCTGAACATGGTGGTGGTGGTGGGGGGGGGGGGCGTCTAATTGGCTACCACTGTGCTAAATATATTTCTATTAATACAGAACCAATCTAGACAACAAAGTCATGACCCTTGTATCTTTTTTTCCCATCCTTTCATATTTGAATAGGTGAGCCGTATTCCCGTCAGAGCAAATTGCCCAGATTGCGGCGCAAAGTAAGACAAAAAAGAGGAGCCGATTGTTGTCATCGGCGGCAGAAGAAAACCAAGAGGTGGTGACTTGTAGAGAAGTGAGAAGATGAAATGGGGGCAGGCACCGGCAGAGAGAGAGAGAATAAAGAGCCACACTGTTTCACTTTTTCCAAAGTGAAATCACTCGTGGGGGACAATCGGGTATTTACAGGCACTCATGCCACGGACTGAAAACGCGTGGAAACACCTTCGCCATACTGCACTTGACTCACGCTCAAAGTGCTGCACACACACACACACACACACACACACACACACACACACACACACACACACACACACACGCACGTGCGCGCTAGCTAGCTTTCTACGGTCTCTGTGCAGGACTTACCAGGGATCCAAAAAGACCTTTACATTTTAAAGTCAAGAAGATAAAGTCCGGATGGGAGGATGGACCGGATTTGGACAGCGGGGAAATAAACGCAAAATTATACACATGAACATGATGTCAACAGTGTGTCTCATGGGCCGATTGTACATAAGAGGCAAAACAGCTCGATATAAAGACAAGAGGACCTCGCTAAAGTGAGGACAAAGTAGAAAGAAAAAAAAGGGAACGGCCTCGTCAGGGTCCGTTCAGGGTGGCAAATGTTTGAAAAGCAGTTGCCAACAGTTTCATGATTTTTCTTGTCACGGGGAAAAACATGCGGGACCCCACATCATTGTTGATGAAAAATCAAAAGCGAAAAAGGAGCAGCAGCAAGTTTGGCGCACAATCGAACTACACCCAAGTGCGTGCAGACTGAGAGGGAAGTGTAAAATTGAAGAGAACAAAATTGCACCTGTCGGCTAATGAATATGTGCACGCAGAGGTGTTTAGGGGGTTTTCTGAGGTGCGTGTTTTCGGTGCATTTAGTCGAAACACACACTCGCCTACGCAGACGACGGCATCATCTTCGACAATGGTCACAAGGAACACGTGACAAGTTGCGTGAAATGAAACTGAACGTTATCGGCGTTATCTCGATCTCTGCTGAGGAACGTAGAGTAACACTCCGGGAATTCTCTCTCTTCTAACATCGGAGAAAGAAAATGCAGTTTGACAGAGACAAACGGGAGACAGCTGTCAAAAACGGAGCCGCCGCAACTCAAGCGGCAGGCTCTGCCCTCGCTTTCATGACCTCTTGCCGATATCGGTCAAACTTGGAAACCCGCAGTGATCCAAAGACAAAGAGAAGCACCTTTCTGCTGATCCCATTTGAGTCATCACTAAGACGAATAATTCACTTGAGCGCGTATTCTTCACTAAGCGTGTGCGACTCGGCGATAAAACCAGCTCATAACATTCGGACCTTCCTTCTTTTTTTTTAACCTCACAGCGGTGCACTGAACACACTCGAGGGGAGAACAGGGATCGATACGCGCAAACAGCCATGTGGGAAATGACCGACTGCGCAATGCCAAAACTACCAATAACAGTGAACGGATGTTGGCAGAGTAAATGTGTTCGTTTAGTGGGCGTGCTATGAAGAGGAAAGCGAGCATATGAAACAATTCAAAGCAAGAGCTACGTGTGAGCGACGGGACGACATTTGAGAATTTGACGGCAATAATCTCCGGGCATTTACGCGAGCAAAGAAGTTGCCGGCGCAGAGCGACTTTTGTGGGTCTCGTGAGAGAAAGTGCAAAGTTAATGAATTATTGAGAGCACGGGGGCTGACGGACAAAGAGCCAAAGCCACGCATCCCGTGCGGTCACTTCTTCAGCCCATCTGCAGTCAAAGAATGCCCCCAAAGATTGATTCATTGTTAACACAGCCTGACACCCTGTGTGAGGGAGAAAGAAAGTGCAAGATAAAAGGCACAGAGAATGGGGGACAGGGGGCTCCATTTACCAAGAATATGAGCGGAGGCAGGCCAGAGGACGGAATTCCCACAGTGATGATTTTGCCACTTTCAGAAATATAACCGATGTGGGCATGAGTAACGACGTTCCGTCCGCTTCAAAATGAACGGCGCATCTCAGCTCTGGAACGCCGGTCCTCATTTCCCAGTTAGACACAATTGAAACGGCTGCATTATTGATACATGGCTGCTATATGCAGACTTTCTGCATTGACTCACATAAGCAGGAAGAGGCGAGCAAATTTAGTTCCTATGAGGCCAAACGGGACTATGACAGCAGTGGATTCCGAGTTATTTGATTGCAGGGAGGGATATGCAAATTGAGCAGGAACGGGCCAAGGTGGCTGCTAGCAAAGAGGAATGACAAGTGCTCAGAAGGTTTTACACACACACACACACACATACACGCACACAAAATCACATCAAATTAATTTGGCGTCGCATGTGAATGCACTTCCTGACAGCAACATGAAGCAAACTGGGGCCAATGTTGCTCCTGAGTGAATTTGGTGGAGGGCTGCTTGTACATTCAGTTGGGGGTGCAAACTACAGCATTGCGCTTTAAATTCCAATGCTGCCATATTTGCAACTGAAGTGACACGTGCCCGCTAACAAATCAAGGATTTCTAATGGTAAAACAACTGGTCAAATGCATGTGTACTTCCTCCTAATTGAAATTAAAAGGTGCAATGATGCAAACACCGCACGACACAAAGGCAAGTGTCGTTGATTTCAGCGATATGAGCGATGCCCTGTTCATCAATGAGAAGCAAGTGATCCCTACATTTTGGCCGCCCTTAACACAGCACGTCCTCCTGAAGTGTTCAATCTCCCCTGCGCTGAGACACATCTGTCTGCATCTGCCTCCCTCTCACGCTCGCGCACATCCAACCAAACGTCCTTCTATGCGTGATTTCGCAGCAGTTCCAGCCGACATCAAACGCCGTTATGCCTACGGTTACAAACACGCGTATGCAATCTCAGTAAAGCCCAGCAAATAATAAATAACAGATGCTATGGAGTCCGGCTGAGATGACTGAGCCAGTTCATGTTTGCTTGTCAGCTCTGGGAACAAAAAAATGTTTATATATATATATATATATATATATATATATAGATCCACCTTCCAAATCAGCACCAACCTGACTTATCCTCCTTATAATTTGCTTCTTTTTTGGATCCCATTTGCGTTTGTATATTAGCGACGATAATCATAAAACTGCGACAGGAGCACAATGAACGTTATGTGGGGGTGATGTGGTGCCAGTTGACAATAAACAATATAGCCTTTCGTTTTATAAGCTATCACAACAAAGCTGATGCGTTATAACAAGCTGTGTAAGCAGACAATTTCTCCAGTTCCACTAGAAGGGAAGACAAGTCAAGCTGGCCGGCTAAAAATACTGCCCCCGAAGCCATCCCGTTGTGTTGTGTAAAATGTCAAGCGGTGCCGGAGATAAACAATAACCGAACCCAAGTGTGTCCCGCGCATAAACCGCCGGTGAGTCCTGGCGATCCGATTGCATCCGGCGACCAAGATATCTTATATACGCTAAAGTTTGTATCCATGGAACGCGCGTGTAAACACGCGGAAACGGACACGCGCATTTTATTCAAAACCAGTGCACCGAAACGGTTGCATTTCACGCAGAAATCAGTTCGCAAATGAAAGCGAACAACTGGGAATGGAAAGGTGGCTGGCTCGTTGTATCGCGACAGCTTCGGGACCACCGTCTGCTTCGGAAACGGGGCGACACCAACTGCCTCCTTGACAAATTTACGCGGTCGAGCACACGATAGCAACAGGGTTCGAAAGTCACTCGCTGACTGATGACAAAAAATATTTCGAACAAACTCACCCGCTTCGACGTTTTCATTGAAAAACTGTTTCTTTTACATCTCTACAAACTCTCCGCCATCTTCGGAAGGACCGTGTTTGTTTAAATGGGAAACACTCCCAGACGGAGAGGCAGCTTGTGGGCAGAGCCACGTGCATTCTGGGTAATGTAGTTCTTTTGCCCTCGCGAGCCTCTGCACACCTACACCATACAGTACGTTGAAGATGATTTGCACCGGCGGGATATGATGAGTTGGGATTTAAAGATTTCTTCGCCCGATATCTTGGCAAGAGACACTGATGCGGTTACATTTTAGTACAGTTATTTCCACAATAACTTCAAATTCAAGTCACGAATAACAGTACTGTAACCTAAGGTCACTTTGAAGCCGTAGATAGGCAGATGGAATTTCTGTTAGAGGAGAGGTTGCATGTCCTTTCTCTCTCTCTCTCTCTCTCTCTCTCTCTCTCTCTCTTTCTTCCCCCCTTCCCCCACTTCAAAATCAAATAGATTTGCATCTAACTGGTACCAGAAGTAGGCGGCCCGGTGGTCCAGTGGTAAATGTGCCTGCGTGCGTTTTCGCCGTGGGTTTTCTCCGGGTACTCCAGTTTCCTCCCACGTTCCAAACACATGACTCTAAATTGTCCCTAGGTGTAAGTGTGAGCGCAGATAGTTGTTTGTCTCTCTGTGCCCTTCGATGGGCTGGCAACCGGTTCAGGGTGTCCCCACCTACTGTCCGAAGACGGCTGAGATAGGCTCCAGCACCCCCCATGACCCTCGTGATGATAAAGTGGATTGGAAAATGAATGAATGGTACTAGAAGCTGATTTTATGTTTCACCATTGGGCATCACCTGCCCCATCTGGACACTGAAAATATGTCAATTTGGCATATGAAAAATAATACTCGGACCAGTGAATCGTGCAAGACGAAAGAGACAGTTTTTTATTTATGTATCTATTTATTTATTGGTTTATTTATGTATGTTATGTATGGGCTACCAATGGAGAAAGTAAAGACAAAAAGAACTCAAATTCTGGTAATACATTAGTGAAGTTCAATGCCATACACTGGAGCATTTTATAATAGTCAGGCATGGCAATACAGTACTGTATCTGCTATTCTGACAATGTAGTCCAGCATGTTTGGCAAGTAGCAAACATATAGACAGTCATCCATGATGCCTTGCCGGGCCCTTTTAAGCAGACATGATTATGCATTGATTCCACACCCAAGTGGTGCCTATCTTCTGAAACATCCCCAGCCCCCTACATCCCCAATTTATAGATACTTGATCAAACCGTGAAATGTAACAGTCAATAAATAAAATGCCACCTTTTAAACTGTAGGGTTTATGCCAGGGTTTATATACACTGAGAGAGAAGGAGAGAGAGAGGTGGAGAAAGAGCGAGAGAGAGTCAATTACATTCCTCAGAGAGCCACAGAGGGGCAATGAGGCCCCTGTTTGTGCCCCATCCCCCAACAAAACATGCAAAACTGACCTTCCCCCTTGGTGAATGTGAGACACTTAATTCCATACCCCCTCCTCATTCACTCCTGCTACTTTGAAAGGACAGAAGATAACAGTTTGAAAGGACAGGAGATAGCCCTATAATCATTATTGTATTCGGTATTGGTTTACCTGCAAACAGCAACACCGCCTGCACAGCACAGCACAGCACACACCGGTCCAATGAATGCAAGACATCATAGGATTTCCCCAATTTTTCTTTACTCGGGTTCTGTATTTCATTTTCAATTGTAATGAATCACAAAAAAATATCAGTGATAGGACGTAATGGAAATTGCTACGGTCGCGCTGGTGTTGTACAATATTCTCAGTGTTCTACATATTTTCTATCAAGCTGACCGTCTGTTTGTTCGATGATTTCCAAAACTACACTTGGAGCACATGAGTTGGGACAACGATGTCCGATTTCTCTTGTATATTTCCGACATTTGTGTCTAATATCTGTCATACCGCAGTCTTAAATGTTGTTGGACGTCCACACCGGCAGCGAGACGGCGAATGGTTAACGACAGCGACATCTTGAGGCCGGCACGATTCCTTACACGAGTCACCCACACGAGGCAGATGTTCGAACCTGAACCCGAACCTGCTTCCGGAGGGGGAAACACACGGTACGATGCTAAACACGAACACAAAATGGCACGTTTACTCATGCGTTTCGCGAGCGTTCCCATTACGAATCACGTCAAAACGTTCTGGGTTTTTTTCGAACGAACTTACATGAGCTAAAATTACCCGCAATTGTGTAAACGCGAACTATTTTTGCGCAAAATAAATAATATAGCTCAAATTAAATCCTGTGACATGTTGCTTGTTGCACACACA